ATTGTATAGTATTGAATGTCTGTATATTCAGCTCTTGCATACTGTGAAAATACAGTGACCAACTGCTAAAGCCAAAAAGGTTACAGTAAAACACTGTAAATGAAAAGCATGTTACAGTCGCTCAGAAGAGTTGTGCTCTGCAAAATCACGGTCAGTGAGAGAGATTGGACATGTGTTCTGCTTCAGCTTCACGTCTTCATGTTTGAGGACTTTGTCCACATCTCAGACTCTGTCGTCTCTGCAGGCGAAGGGAAAAACACTCAAGCAGATCCAGCCTTGACAACACTATACACACCTGCTCTTCCTCCTTGTTCACCTCCTCTTACACACACTCTTCCTCCTCTCTCTTATATTGTTTCCATCCATTGTTGGTATCAACATTCAGTGCAACATTTTGAGTCAGTTTTGGCTCTGAACTGACTTCTTGTAGAGTTGGTTTGATCACATCATTAGAAATAAGTGTGAACAATTTTGAGTCGTTGTGTGTAAAAGATGACAAGTGTGCAGTTGTGTTTAACTTTTGCCTGCCTGTGTTTAGTGTTGTGAAACACAAGTGCATTACAGTGTGAAATGTGTTTCAGTGAGTGAGACTGTGTTTAGAGTTTTGCAAAAAGAGTGCATGAGATTTGCAAACAGTGTTTTAACTACCTGAACTTGTTTAATGTTTTACAGAAAGAGGGATTTATTCGACAAATTGGTTTAGTCTATTGAGAATTTGGTTCAGAGAATGGCTTTTAGTGTTTTAGCAATTCAGAAAAACTGTAATATGTGGCCTTGTTTGGAGATGATCAACAATATTCTTCACCTTGACTGGTCATAATGTTTTGTCTCATCAGTGTATGTATAGGCTATGCTAATTGATTAGCACAACATTGCCAGAACAGAAACACTGTAAGCTAAAGCTATAGCTATCTAAATGAGGACATGCAATAGACATCCGCTGTTATATAAAGCTAATTCAATTGAATATGGATTAAAGTAAAACCAGACCGCAAACTTTAAAAAGGGACTGGTTTGATGTGGTGATATGGGTCCGCTGTGGAGATGCCAGGTGGTCTGAACCCAGTCTTTAAACTGGGCAGAGTGGGTCGCCTCTTCAAACACTGCAGGAGCTCAGCTGGCCTATACTGCTCTCTCATTTAAACCCAAGAGAGAGAGAGAGAGAGAGAGAGAGAGAGAGAGAGAGAGAGAGAGAGAGAGAGAGAGAGAGAGAGAGAGAGAGAGAGAGAGAGAGAGAGAGAGAGAGAGAGAGAGAGATCAGCTGCTTTAGGTGAGGGGGAAGAGGCAGAGAGAGAGAGAGAGAGAGAGAGAGAGAGAGAGAGAGAGAGAGAGAGAGAGAGAGAGAGAGAGAGAGAGAGAGAGAGAGAGAGAGAGAGAGATCAGCTGCTTTAGGTGAGGGGGAAGAGGCAGGACAAAGAGAGAAAGAGAGAGAGAGAGAGAGAGAGAGAGAGAGAGAGAGAGAGAGAGAGAGAGAGAGAGAGAGAGAGAGAGAGAGAGAGAGAGAGAGAGAGAGAGAGAGAGAGAGAGAGAGAGAGAGAGAGAGAGAGAGAGAGAGAGAGAGAGAAGGTGGGTAGGTATGTGAGAAAGAACTGATGTAAAGCTCAACTGAAGAGGGGGAGGAGATTAAAGGTCAGATGTGAATTCAACAGAGAACATGGCCTAAAAACCCAGCGTTTTGTTTTGGATATATTTGGACTGGGAAAAAAATGTTTGCTTTGAATAATTTATATATTGTATTTAATTGCATTTTGTCAAAGTAAATTGATCTATAAGGTTGTTGTCATATATATATATATATATATATATATATTATATGTATATTTAACAACAACCTTATATATCAGTTTACTTTGACAAAATACAATTATTTGACATGTAAAACACATTGCTAAAATGTAAGCCATGTGAGAGAAATCGAATACAATAAAAGCGTTGATAAAAAACAATCATCACATATCACAATTAGGACAAATGAATTCATCACCACCTTCACAGATTCTTCTTTTTCTTTTATATAAAAACCTGGAAATCGTCGATATGTTGTCTTTGTTTAGTGTTTATGCGCACAGTAAAGGTTTCATGTAATGTTCGTTGAACACACTTAAACGTGCAACGATCACAGTTTTCTTGACTGAAACCAACCATTCAAATATATCATATTATGAATTATTTGATTTAGGCATAAATATTCTGTTTTCTCTTCCGTGAATAAAATATATTTTTATGGTGCTTCTGTAATAAATGTGGTGATACGGTTCTGTTTTTTGTGCATTCTTTCGTGTCACAAAATAAAAACAATGTTGCCTCGTAACGCATAGTGCATCTTGAGTGTTTTGTGTTTTACCTGACACGTCACGGATATTTTGCATTTATATTAAAAATAAACCATTAGCCTAATTTTTAAAGATATATTATCGTGATAGCTAAAAAAACAAAACAATGTATGGGGATATATTTGGTTAGACTATTAAACATGTAAACTTTATTTATATGCAAGTTTCACATGTTATAATCTGTAATATAATTATGACATATTTAAGATGTATTTTTACAAGGAAAGAAAAAACGTAATAACATGCACGTAAATAATAGCTACATTTGGAGTTTTGTTGCAAAATAAAAACGATGTTCCATTTAGCGATAAAGGATAAATAATAAATTAATAAGAAGAAGAAGAAGAAGAAGAGGAAGAAGAAGCGCAAGCTGAAATTAAATAGATAAAAGTCATCTATTGTCTATTGACATATTTTGATTCCATGATCATTTCAGGAAAAATAATAGAAAAGATCAGTTTGATTGATTGTTTCCCATTTCGTTAGAGTTTAGTTTGAAAATATTTTTGTCACGCAAAAAAAAAAAGTTTAGAAATAAAACAAACAATATTTTGTCTTTTTCTAATTAATAAGAGATGAAAAATGAAACAAGCATGAAACTACAGGCCTATTCGAGTCTTTATGAAGTCTGTTCGTGGAGCTCATAAAGAAATATGTAGAGATATTAAAACAGTTAGGCAAAGGCTAATAATTGCATTATCATTCATTCACACCTCACCTCAAATCACTGCAGGGAATTCTTCAGATGCTCTTTTTAAACTTACACATTTTTATAAACGCGATTCCATTCGAATGCAATGGCAAACTGATTAGATACATGTATTTCCACACAGCCAGAGGCTTTCTGCCTAACTATTAGCATCATTTCAGTCCTTCAATAACATTAATTGCGGGAGACAGCAGAAGAAAGGCTGTTTAAGTGCTCTGTCACTTGCGTTGGACCTTTCACCTCATCACAGGCTGGAATGCGTCCTCGAGCGCGCCACAGTGCCACATGCACACCTGGAGATTCACACACAGCCTTTGAGGACCGAATCAAGCAGATTCAACAAAGAAACTCTCGCGGTTGCGTGCTTTCCGATTTGGAGCCACTCTGAGCCACACATATCCTTATCACTACTTTTTTTTTTATGATTTCATGACAAATAAACCTTTGATACAAAATACATCCAAATGCATATTTTAAAACACTAATACTACAGCTAACAAAAGCATAATCATCAATAACATAAACAAAAATAATAAAGTAATAATATAGGCAATAAATTAGTGTCTGATTGTATTTTACGCAAATTCGTTCTTTGGTGTTTTGGAAAGTCTGCTAAATCTGCACAATTCCAGTTAGCTTTTTCACATTAAGTGAAGCTAAAATGAAGTCCCTTTAGCTCTGTCCTGCATTTCAAATGTAGATAACGCGTAAGATTGATCGACATCACTGCGCGCCATGCACGCGCTCCTCTGACCCTTTCCACATCTTTCATGGCATATTTGGAAATAATGCGACTGTTCCAAGACTTGTACTTTCAGTGGCTTTTTAAACATGATTTGTTTCGCTTTTTTTTTTTTAGAGGCCGACTAAATAAAAAAATAAATCTGAATCTCTCAGTTCTTTATCGTGCGTGTTTAATAGATTACACGGCCAGAGAAAAAGCGGGAATATTCGTCAGTAAAAAAAAAAAAAAAAAAAACGTTTCCAAGGTTTAATTGTTAATGCTTAATAGGCTACTCTTCCATATGGACTCATTTGAATCACAAGAACGTGCCAAAGTTAAGACCTTATCGAATAAAAGCAGGCTGAATTTAAATGATCAAGAAGGAACTCGAATAAACACATTTCTGACCTGCTTTGTTTTTGTGAGTTCACAGACCATTTTCTTATTTAATTATAAAACTACAAACTAGCACATATCGATTGATTTTTTGTGCGCTTTCATTTCGAACTTCTGCCTTTGACTCCTTTGACTCCAAGGCAATAAATGCAGGAAAGGCGAATATTCACAAATGTATAAACTTTCCCTCATTAACTCTTTTTTAAAGGTGTGCGGACTGTGGATGTGGAAACACACTGCTGTGTTTTGTGCTTGTTGGCCATGCCCTCTGACTTCATATTCCACAGGGTTAAGAGGTCCTCAATTTGCATACTGAAAAATACCACACGAATTTTAAATATAAATGATTGCATCTTGTAAGTAAAGTAAATACTTGTAAGCAATCATTTGCTGAACCACTATAGTTTTGAGAGTTTATAAAAACGGTTTCTAACTTTTGTATAGATAAAAAAAAAAAAAAAAAAAAATATTAGACGTTGTCATTTAAATAGAGCTAATAGCCAATTAGCTTTGGCTTCGATTTAATAAGAGCACACTGAATTATAGTTCATATAGATGGTTTGGGCCTATCACATCCTGCTGATTTTTGAGCATAAATTGTGAAAATGAAATTGTAGCCTAACCTGACGCTTTACATGTTAAACTGAGCTCTCAAGTTTGTCTAAAGAGAAATCTCCGACGTTTAGAGGAGAATTCAGGTTGTGAGCGCCACTTATCATAATGCGAAAGCTTGGATAGATTTATGTAAAAAAAGCTGACGCCACGCACTTGGAAGCTCAAAATGATACACATTTGCGAGCGGAGCCGTTCTGATGGCATTCTTTCTGTATCTTTTGCTCCGTGAGTATTTTCTTCAATTACTAGGATGTCAATGGCTCGTTTGGCTCGTTGCTCCGCCCCTCGTGTTTGTCGTACAGCAGCAGTCTGACGGGAATAAGGCAGAAATAAGAGCGTCCAGGACTCGCCTCTCTCCAGCTCGCACAGTCGGAGCTCAGAGAGCGCGGTTACGCACGGAGGACACTTGGCGTCTGGCGGTCGCACATCATCCACGGGCCTGTGGCAGCTTCAGCAAACTCGCTCGCGGGCTGAACCATGTCCTTGAGCCCCAAACATTCAACGCCTTTCTCAGTGAGCGATATTTTGAGCCCGATCGAGGAGACCTTCAGGAAGTTTGCAGCCATGGAGAGCAGCGTGAGCCTGGCGTCTCCTCTGTACAGACAGACTCAGGTGTCTCAGGCGAATCTCCAGCAGCACAGCATGGGTCACAACACCTACCACATGCCGCACTCGCAGTTCTCGCACAGCGCCATGGGAGGATACTGCAACGGGACTATCGGAGCCATGGGGGACCTGCCGTCCTACCAGGAGAGCATGAGGACCGGCGCGACCGCCACGGCCTGGTACGGCTCGAACCCGGAGCCCAGATACCCGACAAGTGAGTCCGATGAAAAGAATCATTCATTCTTATACAGATAAATATCAAACAAAAAAGCTGTCATTTTTTTAAATTAAGTTTTTGCCATTTAGCACATAGAGAAAAATAAATAAATATTGTTGGATTAACTTAAAAAAGTAACCTGGTTGCCTTCAAATTTTGAGTTCACTGAAATTAATATAATGAATGATATTGGTTTAATTAATAGAAACTCAAAATATCGGAACCACATAAATTATGGTTCATAAAGTATTAATAGTCTACTTTATATGGTCACATAACGCATTAAGTTGATTTAACAAAAACAAAAGAGTGATAAACCAGGTAAAAAAAATTTTTTTACAGTGTTGTTTACATACTGTCAAGATGTCATAATGAGGCTTATGAAATTTGGCTTGCATCGTGCATTTCATTCTGTAGATTATATAACATAAATAATGCATTGATTGCTCACACATCAGAAACCTAAATAAATAAATGGGCCTATAGATAGATAGAAATAATGTAAATATTATTTTTCAAAGTTAAAAATATTACGTTTTAATGTACGTTTTACAAGAAAATATTATTTCAGTATTTTTACTTCACAATTTCACCCTTATAGTCGTTTCCTTTTTATTTCAATTTATGCATTTTATGAGTGAAAATAAGTGAATCGTACAGCTTTTTTCAGTGTATAGAGATGTATAGAATTGTATAGAATTTGTGTACAGTGTATAGAATTTCCTTTAATTCTTTTCTCTTTTCGGTTTGCTTAATTCTTATTTGTATTCGATTTCATTTATAGACCTAAATAAGTGGATGTTTTGTACTCACATCTTCCGTAAAACAGCAAATCATTTTAAAAATGCTATATAGGCCTATGCTATAGAATATAATTATATATTTCTACCAAATAATTAAAATAATTTTTGTTTCATACTAAATAATAGTTCAAATGAGTTGAACTGTATAATGCGTCAAAAACTTCAGATATTGTGGAAGCTAGTACACTTAGTAGCCTATTTTGTAAAAGAAACTTAACTGGCATTTAATCAGTTTCTCTGAATTGTGTTTATAATAAATTGTCTCCTATATGTTTTAGCATTTCCCAGATGTGTGGTAGCAGATTATATTTTTACTTTTATGTTTGTCCTTCATATGTTTTAATATTTTATCCTGTATGTGTTGCATTTAATTTATTTTATCTCTTATGTTTGATGCACGTTTTTTATCGAATGTGACGTTGCTGTTGATATTTGACTATATAATTTTGATGTAAAGCACTTTGAACTGCATTTATGCCTGAAAAGTCCTATATAAATAACGTTCATTATTATCATCATTAATACTAATATAAATTTGCTTGTTCTCTGCAGTCTCCAGGTTTATGGGTCCCTCAGCGGGCATGAACATGGGCACATTACCGGGCATGGACGCAAGTAAATCTATGGTGACTTTACACGCGGCGCCGCGCAGGAAACGGCGCGTGCTCTTCTCTCAGGCGCAGGTGTACGAGCTCGAGCGGCGCTTTAAGCAGCAGAAGTATCTGTCGGCACCGGAGAGGGAACATTTGGCCAGCATGATACACCTGACCCCGACCCAGGTCAAGATCTGGTTCCAGAATCACAGGTATAAAATGAAGCGCCAGGCGAAGGATAAAGCGACCCAGCAGCCGGACACCGCAAACCTGTGCGCGCAACAGTCCCCGAGGCGCGTGGCCGTGCCAGTGCTCGTGAAGGACGGTAAACCGTGTCAGAACGGCTCCAGCACACCGACACCGGTCCAGAACGTGATGGGCAGCGAGACTTTAGCTTTAGGATCAGCGGAGGATCTGGAGGAGATGTCTCCCAGTCCTCCTCTCATGACTGACGCTGCGCTCATCGAGTACACGAACAGCATGGTGAGCTCCAACCTGCTTTACGGCAGAACATGGTGACACTTCCGCCGGGAAACGGACCAGTACGCGCATTTACAGAAACACCTTTTTTAAAACTCATTTTTTAAACTGATGCAGGACCCTCATGTGAATTGTATGGATTGTAACTTTAAATCATTATTGAATGAAAAGCTTCACGCGGATGAGTGAGTGAGTGTGTGTGTGTGAGATGAGGACTAGTTTAATCCGACATCATTTTTGTTGCTTTGTAAAATACAAGCTGTAGATGAAGAGATGTTTTGTGTAAATATCTAACACTGGACAAAGAATGCTTTCTTGAAGTCTTTTGTAAGTTTAAAAAGGAAACCAATAAATATGAGTGCTGCAAATATGAAAGAAACCTTTTTTGTTCCTCAAATAGTTTGAGCAAACCAAGCTACAATTATTCGCATTACATTTATGAAATCTCAACGACCAGACTAAACAATTGCGGAAATACACTTGTTAAAAATCTTAACTGATACCGATTTAGAGTAAAAATAGAAATTATTTTTAGTACATCAGCACGAATTCGTGTTAGGCTATTGTTTGCTATCAATCTTGCGACGTCAAAATAATTTGTCTCAATATACAACAGCAGGATTTTTCTTCACCGTTCATATGCATTAATTTGGTTTAAACAACGAGACCATTATTACCCAAAATTTATATTAAAAGTGTTTTTATTTAAACGTGTATATTGACCTTTGGGTTTTGCGTTGCTCAATCAAATCTTATTATTCTTGATTCAAAAGAAATAATTATAATCTAACTGGTCAAAAATGAAAACTAAAAGCACAGCTTCTATTAAAGTAGGAGCAGATTTACTCATCATTGTCATATATTCCATTCGACTCTGTTTTATTAATGTTTAATCTTTTAATTAATTCAATTTAAACAGACTCTCAAAATGTCCATCTGCATCTATAATTGCTAAGAGATAAGCTATGAATATTAATTTAAAGATTAAAATACACACAAAAAATGTTGGGCTCACCACAGCTGAATTAGGAATTTATAAAAAGAGCAACATTAAAATAAACCATTAAAATCGAGACTCTAATGAATCCCTAACACACACACATACACAAAGCAAATAAATCAAACTCAGCAGTCTTGTCTCTTATGTGTATTTCATAAGTTTTACAGGCATATTCTTAAAAATCAGTACATAAGAACATTTTGTCAGTAAAACGAGAAAAAAACAAAACAAGAAAAACTTTACAAATCAATAGCCCAAAAAAGACAATGTTATCTTGAAATAGAAAATAAGAGGCGTTCAGCTCCAGTTGTAGCGTCCTCCTCCTCCGCCGCGGTGGTCCTGCTTGCCGTGCGCGGGTCTCCAGCCTCCTCGTCCCCTCTGCTGGTTCTGCTGGTACGACTGATCCCAGCCCTGAGCTCCCTGCTGGAACCTGTGGAGAGCAAACATGGGCACTTTAAACAAATAAAACTAACTCAAGTAAACAGTCTTCGGGAAGCTTCAGAAAAAACACCACCTGATAGAGCAGTAAAAAAATAAATAATAATAATACAGGTATTAAGCTAGTAATAAAGGTAAAGTAGCTTATAAATAAAGGTACACTACTGTTCAAAAGTTTGGGGTCAATAAGATTGTGTGTGAAGGAAATTAATACTTTTATTCAGCAAGAATGCATGAAATTGATTAAAAGTGACAAAGACATTGTGTAACAAAATAATTAAAATAAATGCTGTTCTTTTGAACTTTCCATTCATCAAAAAATAAAATGCAATTGTTTCCACAAAAATATGTAGCAGCACAACTGTTATTAACTGAACTGATAATAATCAGAAATGTTTCAAATCCGCATATTATAATGATTTCTGAAGGATCATGTGACACTGAAGACTAGAGTAATGATGCTGAAAATTCAGCTTTGATCACAGGAATAAATTAGTTTTATGTATATATATATATAAAAAAAGTTATTTTAAATAGCAAATATATTTCACAAAATTAGTTTATTGTATTTTTGATCAATTTAATGCAGCTTTGGGGAGCAGAAGAGACTAGATATTACATTTGTCATAAGTTTGTTATAACATGTTGTCTTTGTTATGTAAACCAAATATATATTTTTTTTAATATATATCCAAATCTTAAGAAAATTGTGGAATATCTATAGTTCTAATCATATTTTTGACATCCACTGATTTTTCCTGGACATCAGAAAAACCTAACCTTTCATTAGACCTTTGAAACAGCAAAAAGCTCAAACCCAAGGCAGTACAAACAGGCGTTCAAGCAGCATTTTAAAATGCAAAGTCCAGTTCATTCTTTGATTTCCACTTCGCTCATCCACATCAAAACTAAAGTCTCCCGAAGGCTACGAATAACACGTCCGTAACCAGCGCTCGACCCCAAAACCAGCTCACCTACCCACGTCTGTCAAACATCTATCGGTCTCTAAAGCAGGATCTGGACAGACAGGCATCCCTCATTACTGACGCAGGTCACAATCTTCCTGAGGAATCCATAATCCCTCCTCCAGGTTCCTTGTGCGTTTCATTCGGCTCCGTCCTGAACGGTTAAAGAAACTCTGCTCTAATAACTACTGACCTAAGGTGACACAGGGCCACAATGGGCTGCCGGGCCGAAAAAGTTGAACCAAAAGAAGCTGATTAGTCCCTGAAGTGGTCTGGAGCCAGAATCAATGGCGGCTCTGTGCGGCCCCTGTGCACAAGAGACAGTGAACTGCACCCGCATTAGTGCTGCCTCATTAAGCCCTGCAAACCTCTTTACCAGGACATTTGTTTAGCGTGCAGAGAAACTAATTCCAGGCCGGCCCCCCCAGGAAGAACATCAATAACTCGTATCCTACACAGGAAGACGACTAACAGCGGGAGGGAAAAGGTAACTCGAGTCTATTTGGTTGCTTCGGATTCTTGAATGCATGAAGAGACGTATAATACAGATAGTCACAGGTGCATTGTGGGAGCACCTTGCAATGACCTTCGGGAGTGAATATATGTGGCCGTGAGTATATAGAAAACATCTTACCTGGTATACGGTGTGGAGCTGGCCGGAGTCTGCCAGGCATCTGTGAAGATGAAAACAGGCGATTAGAGTTTTATTGGTGGCGTTTACTAAAGCAGAACACTAGTTCATGTGCATCTGCGATCCAGACATGAAGCAATCCTCAAATCATGCGACGAATCATCCTAGATATATGGGACATAACCTATAGAACACCACAGCAATAAATAGAATACCTTAGCAACTGCATAGGGCCTTAGCAACACCCTGGCAACCACATGGAACACCCTAACAACCAATAGAATACCTTAGCAACTGCACTGCAATGCTAAAAAAAACAGTGATACTTAAGAATAAGGTATTAGTTAACGTTAATGCTTTAACTGACAACAAGCAATGTTACAGTATTTATTCATCTTAGTTAACATAATGTTAACAATACAACTGTTCATTCTAACTTCATGTTTGCATGGATCCATTAAATATACATTTACAATTAACAATATAAAATATATAATATTTAACAAATGGAACCTTATTGTAAAGTTTTAGAAATACCCTGGCAATCACCTAGAACACATACCAAGCAAACAATAAACAACTTAGCAACTACTATAAAACTGTGCTAAATGAAATAAGCATTCACTAACAACCACTGAAAGATCCTAGTAATGCCCTAGCAACCACTAAAATATCATAGGTATCACATAGCAGCACTAACAACCACTGACACACCTTGATAACTCCCTAGCAACCACTAGAATACATTAGCAACACCCTAGCAACCACTAGAATATCTTAGCAACCACTAGAATATCTTAGCAACCACAAGGCAATGACAAAACCCCACTGAAAACAAAGTAATACTTTACAACAATGTCTCATTAGTTAATGTTAATGCTTTAATGAGCAAAACATTTGTTACAGTTTAATTCATCTCAATTACCATAACGTTAACAATACAGCTGTTCATTGGTAGTTCATGTTTGCGTAGAGCCATTACATATTAACAAATGGAACCTTATTGTAAAGTTTTAGAAACAACCGTCAACCACCTAGAACACCACAGCAACCAACCAAAGTAATACTTCAGCAAATGCATAACACCTTAGCAACACCCTAGCAACCACTATAAAACTGTTAAATTAAATAAGCATTCACCATCAACCACTGAAACACCTTAGTAATGCCCTAGCAACCACTAAAATACCATAGCTGAACTAACAACCACTGAAACACCTTAGTAGTGCCATAGCAACCACTAAAATACCATAGCTGAACTAACAACCTGAAACACCTTAGTAGCGCCCTAGCAACCACTTAAATACCATAGCTTCCACATAGCAGCCCTAACAACCACTGACACACCTTGGCTTAACACCCTAGCAATCACATGGCAATGCTAAAACCCCCCACTAAAAACACAGTAATACTTTACAATAAAGGTCCCATTAGTTTGTTAATGCATTCACTAACAATGAGCAATACATTTGTTAAAGTTTTTATTCATCTCAGTTAACACAACGTGAACAACAACTATTCATAGTTCATGTTTGCGTGGACCCGTTAAATATTAATAAATGGAACCTTATTGTAAAGTTTTAGAAACACCCTGGAAACCACCTAGAACACCACAGCAAGAAATCAACAGAATACCTCAGGAAATGCATAACAAACACCTTAGCAAACATTATAAAACTGTGCTAAATTAAAAATGAGCATTCACCAACAACCACTGAAACACCTTAGTAAGACCCTAGCAACCACTGAAATACCATAGCCATCACATAGCAACACTAACAACCACTGAAAAACCTTAGTAACGCCCTAGCCACCACTTAGCATCACTCAAAACACATTAGAAACATTCAAATATTCAATTGATCAGTGTTAATATCCGAACTATAAACTTTTATCCCGTGTGCTTCTGTGATGTCGGTGGTAGCGATCAAAATAGACCAAATCACCTTTTGAAAGTAACTTGGCACTTCAAATAAAGATTGTATCGATTACACAATTAGTGACTTATTAAAAAAAATCAGTTTGAACGAATTATTTAAAGCTGCAGTCGGCAAGTCTGGCAGATTGAGTGGAT